CGCGGGAGGCGGCGGGGCGGCGGCCAGGCCTGGTGGGTGAGGGTCACGCGTTAGAATGGTCGGAGCCGCCCGGGTCGGGCAGTCCCGCTGTGGAGGCGGGGGATGGTGGCGGTCGGCTGGGAGGGATGACGGTGTGGGAGGGGTGACCGCAGCGGAAGCTGGGAGGGCAGCGGGGGCGGGGTGTCTCCCGGGGGGCGAGGAGGCCCCAGCTCTGGGGAGGCACCCCGGGGAGAAAAGACGTAGCCAGAGCCTCCTCGGGATCATCCCCGCTCCATCCCTAGGGAGGACAGAGTCGCGCCTGCAGGAGGCCGAGCCCAGGAGCCCATCACACATTGGTGCGAGATGCTATGGCAACCTGCTGCGGGACGGAGGTGCGTGTTGCTATGGCAACCAGCTGGGGTCTGCCCCCTTTGCCTGAGATGTCCTGGTTTTAAGGTTGAAGTGACCCTGATCCGCTCTCCCTTCTCCTATCTCATCTTCTCCCGCGGGTCCTTACAAGTAGACCTAGGAGGCCTCAGACTTCGCACTGCCTTTTACATTTCAGGGTGAAAGCGCCCCTTACCCGTTCCTGGCCAGGCACCAGCATGCCTGTCCACAGGTACTAAAATGCCTGTCCTAAGGGAAGACACTTCAGAGGGGGCCTTGCTCCCTGACGGTAGGCAGAGGGCACATCTGCTTGATAGTTGGTCCTATAGATGTCAGGCATCAGCTCAGTTGTGGGGCACTGAGGGTTCTGTGCCCCAGTCAGAACTTTGAGGATAAAGCCCTCCATTCTGGAATTTCCTCCACACTCTGGAATATGAACATGCAAATGTCTGTCCAATCAGAACTGCCATTAGCTTCAAACTTCCTATCATTGCCTTAACATTTAGCTGCAAGAATCGAGATCGTTTGCAAATATGGTGGATTCCAGACAGAGCTGCCGCATTTTTTCCTTTTCTCACTCCAAAAGCTTCCTGGTGGAACAGCTGTTTGAGCCACTGAAACAGAAGGATGAAGCTCTACATAGGAACCTGATGTGAATGGAAGAATCCTCTCATCGTGAGTCTGGCTTTGGGCTAGTCATTGGATGATGCCTTCCCCCCCGGCACTGCGACTTTGAGGCGATAAACTCCAGTGACCCAGATCTGTTATCAGCTTGCAGTTAACTTACAGAATGGGTTGGACTTATAGGAGTTCTCTTTTTATTTGCTATTGAACATCTTGAGTCACACTGGCCACAATGAGTGTTTTTCATGTGGCCCAAATGAGTCAATTCATAATATTATCGTTACCCAAACAACAGGCCACTGGCAAGCAGGTCAGGTTCTTATAGTCCCTGCTAGTGTTTATAATGGGAGGCTCCCCAAGAAAAGGAGGTGTGAATTTCATGAGCTCAGCTTCACTTGTTTAGAAACTCTCCCTCAGAAATTGATTGGAAACGAGGAAAGCAAACAGGAGTTTGGTGTGACAACTTGGGGCTTTCACGATTAGTTGTTCTACACGGGCGAGAACGCTGTATGTGGAGGTCAGGAAGGTGATAGTCACCAGTGGGATGTGCATTTTATATTTGACCACCTGTGCTTTCTTGGTAGATGCAAATAGTTCGGCACTCCTCACAGACGCTGAAAGCAGCCCTCCTGTCAAAGAACCCAGTGCTTGTGTCGCAGTATGAGAAGTTAGATGCTGGGGAACGGCGTTTGCTGAACGAAGCCTTCCAGCCGGGGAGTGGCCTCTTTGGGCCCATCACCTTGCATTCGCAGTCGGACTGGATCACCTCCCATCCTGAGAATCCCCAAGACTTTGAACAGTTTTTCAGCGATCCCGACAGAAATGCACCCTCTCCAGAGAATCACAGTATTTATATCCAGTGCATTGGTACCTATGGCTAATATGCTGGCTTTGGTTTGGTTTTGCACGACTTCTGTTGCCAGGCCTAGTTGGGCCTTATGGTCTGCCTCTAGTGGACAGTCGTTAGGCCCTTTTGGTCATTCATTCCGTGGTGGAATTTTTAGAGCCAGACTGCCTTAAAGGCGGAGACTCTGTTCTGTGTAATTCATGTCTATGCATTATAAAGGTGTTCGTTTCTAACTGTACATTTCTAATTACAGATAGAAGTAGAGCCTGAATATTGGGAATGTTTCAAAGTCCATCTTTAAATTTTCTTCTGGTCTTATAGGATCTCTAGGCAACACCAGAATTATCAGCGAGCAATACATTAAGTGGCTCAAGGGCTACTGTGAAGCATTTTTTTATGGCTTGACAGTCAAGCTCCTGGAACCAGTCCCTGTCTCTGCAACGAGGTGTGCCTTTAGAATCAATGATAACACAAAAAACCTACAAATCCATGCAGGTGAATTCAACAAAGCTGCCATTTGAATTAAGTAAAGGAAATCAAATATGGATAATACATATGACATATGTACATTTCTCTGAATAGGTGACATCCTGAGGTTCTTAAAAATGAAGAAACCCCAAGATGCCTTCTGTATTGTGGGGATAACAATGATTGATCTTTACCCAAGAGACTCCTGGAATTTTGTCTTTGGACAGGCCTCTTTGACAGACGGTACTCCTTTTTGATGTTTTTGGTAGAAACTTCCTTAACGGGAAAATAGCTGAAAGAGGGGGAAAAAATGTCAACCAGTTATAATGCTGGTATCTAAGGCTGTGACATTTCCAGAGCAGTGTCAGCCGTAGCAGGTGGTGTGCTGTTCAAGAATGTTCTGTGATCTGCCAGGCCATTTGCTACCCACCTGATGTGGAGGCTAATAGTACCTATTTCACAGTCTTTTGGGTGAAATTTACATAAAAGAGTCTATGCGTAAAGAGTGTGCCATGTGCCTGGCACAAATGGAAGCATCTGGCACCACAGACAGTAGGTGAGTGAGTCACTGGTGCGGTGAGTTAGATCAGGGTATTTGAACTGTCATCAGTGTAGGTAGGAAACTTGATGGTTGTGTCCGCTGCTTTCATCGAGGGCATAGCCAGAGAGCGGGCCGCTTCTCGCTCAGCCTGCGTCTTAAGAAGGGAACGTCACTGTGATGTGAGATGTGATGAGCTTTGGCTCATTGGGAATTCTGCTGGTAATGCTGGGCTAGGAGGGGGCTGGAAGCCTTTCCTAGTGATGCTGTCTTTTCTCTTTTGCCTTCTCTCTCCCTACCTGTCCATTTTGCTATGATTGCTCTACCCAGGGCATAAAACAGGTTCAAAGAGGGAAAATCCAGTAGACTCGGGGCTTGGCCGGGGGAGGGGGGGAGGTGGAGCGGGGGGAGGGAGGGGGTTGGGATTCATCAGCATGCTGAGGGTGGGAGTGGGTACCCAGGCTGGACTTAATGAGCTGATGGTCTGTCTGGGGGGTATGTGACAGAGCTGTGGGAGGTGGCGCTCTCTCTTAGTCTTCACAAGTTGGGGCCAGGTTACCCAAGCACCTCTTCTTCCCACCTACCCCTTCACCCTCAGCTCTTCATTTACATGGTGATAGGCCCTCATGACCCCATCAACATAACACATTCCCTTGGAGACTTGCTCCCCCGCCCCAACCCGTCCACCCCACCCCCCTTCCTGAATTTTATCTCGGCTAACTGTCTATCAGAAATAAGCTTATATGAGCTAAATTTTTATGTCCCCTTTTCTTATTAACCTGATGAGATGGAAATATTACAACATTTTTCAAATTGTTTAAATACTGCTACTTTATCTTATATGTTCGAGGAGGCCAGGGCGCGTGCCCCCAGTTGCTCCAACATTCATTCTTTCGGGAGTTAAGCTTCTTAATATTGCAGGCGTGAGAGTATTGTAGGGAGAGCCGGACTGAGCTGCCTTGCAGTGCAGCGGTGTGTCACTGCAGGTGACTTTATTCTCTCCATGTTTGTGATGATTGCTCCTTTCACTGGACAAATATTTACTGCAGAAGTCTCTTTGCAGGATTATTAGAAGAAAGAAAAGTCGTGACATGTGTCACTGAGATATGCCATTGGCTTGGCCAGAGGAAGTCAGTGTGTCACAGAAGCAGACTGGGCTGTTCCTTGGCCTCCAGAATGTCCTCTTTCCCCACGTTTCAAACACCAGTCGATACCCTTTCAAGGGTGGGCGAGGAATATCCTTTCTAAACCGAGCTGGGCATAAACAAACTTACTGGAAGTTCACTTCCTTTTTCGGGCAGAGGCTCTTCTGTCTAGGAGGGGCCACCCTGGGGCATGCTGGGGGCCCTCATTCTCTGGCATGTTTTGAGGTGTGGGCCCCTCGCTGGCACACAGGCTCTGTTGACGGTGACCTTAGTGGGGAGAGCAGTGACCGCTGTCCCTTGTTCCTGTTGGGTGTTTGATTGGGACCCCTGAGCAGAAGACTTCAGAGACACACACTCCCTGGCATTTATAATGCCTTAGGAATTCGCCTCAAGTCCACTGCGTTTTCCAGAGCAGAAGTGGATAGGGCCGTCGGGGTGGAGGCCCCCAGTCCTGCGCACCGCAAGCAGGCGCTGAGTGGGCCCCTGGCGGCCTGGGTGTCCTCCGCCCTCGGTCTCACTCTCACTCCGGCCACTTTTCCTCATGGTAGGTGTGGGGATATTCAGCTTTGCCAGGTACAGCAGTGAATTTTACAGCTCGCACTTCGAAGGCCGAGTGAAGAGGCCGAAGAAAACATCTTCCAATGACTATTCGATTTTTGATGACTATTTCGTGCCTGACGTGGTGACGAGTGTCCTGCTGCTTCGGTCCTGTAAGGTGAGTTCCTGCAAACTGACTACACTGTTTTATTCCCGTGGCTGGCCAGTCCTGGACGCCACAGCCCAGAAGGCAACATTCCAAAGAGTTGGTGTCATCTGCATATTTTGAGTGGGCATTGCTCGGCCAAAATCAGCCATAAAAACAATTGATAATTAGTGACACTCACGAGTGTCCCAGCCGGGTTTCTGTCATGGTCCCCAGCAGCCTGGGCTGTCTGGCTTCCTCTGCATTCGCTTCATTCTGGAATCTGGCAGGGAGCAGCTCACCTGTGCTTTCATGCTGCTCAGGTCCTGGGGTCAGCTGTCCCCTGGACTCGGGGAGGCCTTCTGCCGCAGCCTCTCCAGAGGAGGCTCCCCTGTGCGCCCCAGGCCGCCGCCTCTGCCCTCAGACCGTCTTCCTGTTCCCTGCCTTCTCCTGGCCTGCGCCGGCCGCCCTCGGAGACAGCCTCTGTTCTCACCAGTGTAAGCCTGTGTGAGCCCGCACCTCACGGACCAGCGTTCTCACTGTTTCCTGTGCCGCATCCTGGGTCGGCTTGCCCGGCACGGGCCCAGCCCTCTTCCTAGCGACTAGCACCTTCAGCAGGAAGGCTCCAGAATCTGAATGGTGGCAAGGACCCCACTGCTGCGAGCCACTGCTCTTGGGAGGTTTTGTCCCAGTCGTCACAACGGAGGAGGGGGTGCAGCTGGCATCTAGTGGGAGGCCAGGGGAGCTGTAAGCGTCCTGTGCGGCCCTGGGCAGTTCCTCCTCTGCCCCCCAAGAAAGATCCCAGTCAACTGTCAGTGGTGTCGAGGCGGGGAAATCCCTGCTCAGTGGAAAGAATCTAGGACCCCACGTGAGACGTGGAGGGAAACGAAGTCCTGAGGGTCGAGCAGATCTGAAGTTTTGCTGATGAGGTCAGGGAGCGGGCTGTTTCTTGTAAAAGCAAGAGGAGGAAGGGGGTGTGACTTGGTGCTGACGGAGGCACTGACCTGCCTCGCTGTGGCTGTTTTCCAGACCTTGACCCACGAGATCGGCCACATATTTGGACTCCGCCACTGCCAGTGGCTCGCGTGCCTGATGCAGGGCTCCAACCACCTGGAGGAGGCCGACCTGCGGCCCCTGGACCTCTGCCCCATCTGTCTGCGCAAGCTGCAGTGCGCCCTGGGCTTCAGCATAAGAGAAAGATACGAAGTAAATTGGAAGGGGGGGAGCCAAAAGGGGAAGTGGTTATGTAAGCAGCGAACTACCATTTTCTATTAGACCCTTTTCTGGAGCTGTCATCTATCAGAGGAAATTAGTGCAAAGATAAGCAGGAAGCTGTGGTTTGAGAGACGAGCAGAGAAATACCCTTCTTCAACACTCTGACTTCTGAATACTACCCTGTGTGCATGCTGAGGAGAGCTTGGGGGGAGCGGGGGGGGGGCACGCCTCTCCGTCGCTTAGGCCTGGAGCACTTGACTTTGCAGAACAGGGTGTTGCCGTGTGTGCCGAAGTTCGTTTTCAAAATCTCTGTCAATATGGTGATTTATCTCGACAGTTACGGGGCACGGGTGTCTTCATGGGGGGGGGGGTTTCCTGAAGAACCTCACTAATCAGAGTGCACGTGATGTGCGTGTCCACACGCATCCTACCCACCGGTAAAGCTCGTGTGTGCGCGCGCCTGCGTGTGCCCTTGCACGCCAAAGACACGCGCAGCACAGAGGAGCACAGCGGAGGCCTTGCTGTGCGTTTTGCAAGTGCAGAATAGAACATGTCCTCCTGCCCTAAACCCCCAAGAGACCAGGCGCCCTGGCTCTCCCGCCAGCCACTGGGCCTCCCTGTTTGTTCGTGGGGTTCACGCGCAGCCCCACGCGGGTCCCCGTGCACCCCACGTGTCACCACACATGTCACTCATCGGTGTCACATTTATCAAGTGGGACGTCTCCCCGGGCTAGTGCAAGTCACTGTGTAGGGGCCAGGGCTGGAAGCCAGGCCTTGCTGTTGCCGAGAACAATTTTGCTGCCCTCTGTGAAACCACACCCTGTTTTCTGTCCTTCAAGGCCTTGGTGAGGTGGATGGAGGAGGGGTGTGCGGACACACCGGGAGTCACTTGGAAACCGAGCCGCGAGGACAACGCTCGTCTGCCAAAGCCCGTGGAAGCCTTTAAGGAATGGAGAGAGTGGCTAATAAAATGCCTCGCTGTTCTCCAGAAGCAAGAACCTTCAGATATGAGTAACTAAGATAAGCGCTGGCTCTCCTGTGCCTGCCCGTGGGTGCGGACTGCGGGGGGCGGGTGGGCAGCAGGCTGGAGCCCTTGAGAAGCGCGGAGCTTTGCTGTGAGGGTCCCGGCGGAGGCCGGCAGGGCTCGCCCTTCCCATTGTGCTGGTGCCCCGCGAGGACCAGGGCGAGCTCGGAGCAGGAAGTGAAGCGAAGCTGACGTGGCCTGTGTCCCCAGCAAGCGTTTCTGAGGAACACAACTTTTTGGACTTGGAAACCTGAATTCCTGGGTCACCATTAATGCAGTAAGATTAAAGCACGTTTCATAACTGGGCCGACGGTCTCCCTGGCATTCGCTCTTCTCATTGATGCAACTGCTTGACTCTCAGAGCATCTAGCAAAAGGTGGTTTGTCATTAAGACTAAGCAGATAGTGAGAACAGAGCCCCAGCGGGCTGGGCCCTTTATGGATTCTTTTTTTTTTTTTTTAGAATTATTTATTTGTGCATACAGAACTGGGGTA